GCACCCTCCGGCGACCGACGGCGACCGTCTGCGCCGCTGCTCCCGTCGTCCCTCCTGCCACCGTCTGACCAGGAGAACCATCAGCATCGAGTTGAGTCCTCGCAAAGCGCCGTCGCCCATCAGGGAACCGGAGATTTGAGAGTCGAGGCACCGACCCCCGGCAAAGCGGCCGTGAGAGGGTCGGGGCGGGACAAAGAGGCGAGAAAGGGCAAGCAAAGGCGTGTCAAAGAAAACCCCACGAGTCAGCGATAGGAAAAGATTTTCCATTTAATACTAGACTCTCTCAGGATTGAGATGCAGGCTTTTATGCAATTACATCCAATGTTAAAATTGGTAATACATAATTTACAAAGATTAACATCAAAACAATGATCTATTTAGATATGCTTTGTAAAAAGGAAATATATTAGCAGCATTTATTTTCAGCAATCACACAGCCTACACCCATGCAGACTAAGAGTTCATATCTATTTGCAATAATGTAGTGCTTCCTGGTCTTCAAACAGCGATCCTGGTGACACACTGGTCTTCTCATTATTATAAAATAACCGAAAAATAAAAAAAGTCATTAATTTCTACACCAGTAAGAAAAACAATTCTTTGCACTTACCTAACATTTGATTGTCTAAAAAACATTTTGTTTAGTCTTTCAACAAAAGAAAGATAAAATGACAGAGCTAGTGTCTCGCTTCTGTACGCACTTTATTTTTTTTAAAAACTTTTTAGTGTTTAACACCATTTGAGACAATGATTTCTGTTTTAAACTAAATGAGACAACTCAAGATTTTGGACATGCGATATTCCTACTACACGCACGAGTATTTTATACTCAGGGTTCCTGGTACTGTACAGTGCTTCTCTACAGTAAGAAAATATTCCAAACTATTTTCTTATTTCTTTTTTTTTTTTAATAAAATATTTTTTTTTCAAGGGTTTTTTTTCCTTTCTTTTTTTTTTTTTTTTTTTTTTCTTCTTTTTAAATCAACACAGAAAAGTTAATGGAATGAGTCATGTTCCACTAAGAGTAAAATAATTATAATAATAACAAGAATGTACATTAGGACAAGCTTGGTCCATTAAAAAGGAACATGTAACTACTGTATTGCTTTACATCCACGCAGCAGATATATACAACTTGGCACATTAAAAACTGGTTTTCTTATAAGAACATCTAAAACAGGACTGTATATGCATGTGTACGGCTGAAGGACAAAAAAGCAAAGCCATCGTAACGGGGCAGCGTCCGCCCACCGCCCCCTCCCTTGCCCCGGCCTGGCCCGGGGGCGGCGCAGGGGGCGCGGGGTGGCACCGCGGGGAGGACGCGGCGCCTCGGCCGCTGCGCTGGGGAACCCGAGAGAGAGGGCGGTGCGAGAGACGCTGTCTCTTAATTTAAGAGACGGACAGTTGAAGCTGTACAACCAGAACACAAGAATAGTGTTAGCAGTGGATATAGTCTACAGTTCACAACAAATACTCGCTCTGAATACTGCTCGACGGTTCATGTAGTGAAGGTTTCCTTTTTTTCTTTTTACAGCTTTTAATTTGCACAACACACTAGACACACGAGAACCACAGCTTATCAAAAAAACCAACAGCAACGGTGTTGTCAGGATTTGACTCGCTTTACAAAATTTCTCTGCAGAAAAAAGTGAAAAAAAACCCCCCTCACACCCCGCCCCCTGCCCCCCTCTGCGACGCAGAACAAGTGCCTCCACCAGCCCCCGCCTGCGCTGCTCCGCGGGGACGCTGGAAGTTTCTCCTTGTCACAGACCAGAGGTACACGCGTGCCCCGGCCGGTCCACGGTGAACCTTCTCTCGCACGTTTGGGTACGTTTCTCTCTTCCTGGAACTTGTGCAAATCAGAGGCCACAACTTTAGGGCAGCCTTTCCTTTTAAGCCACTGGGCCTTCACTTTCCCAGCTGGATGTCACTCACTGGCACGGGCCACGGTGGTGCCCACAGTCTCTTGTACAATCACAGGTTAATTGGTGAACGTGGGGAATATTCTCAGAGTAAGTCAGTCCTTATCTTTCTTACCTCCTCGTTTAGCTCTTTACTTGTTTATTTTCCTCTGAATGGGAATATCAAGCAAAAATAAATTAAATTTGACCATCCTGGACAATAACCACGAGGTTTTTCTCAGTACCTAACATCAATACAAGGCACGCCCAACAACACACACACCATAAGAGCACTGCAGAGCAGGGCAGGGCGACCTGCCAACCCAGACATCTAAGTGCTAACTGTTTGTATATTTGTCAGTTTGCTGCTGCCCCCTTTTCCGTGGCTGGTGCAGAGGAAGCTGGGCTCCTGCCCTCAGCCCTCGGCAGACCTTGTAGCAGACTCCAGACCGCAGCTTCCTCGCCTGGCATCACTTCCTGAAGCTGTTCTCCAGGATGGTGAGAGTGCGCCGCCGCAGCTTTCGTCCCGATCCTTCCTCCAGCAAGTACGTGACGTCGATAGCTGCAACAGACCACAGGCTTTTGGTAAAAGAAGGTGCTGCACTAACAGGGTTTCCTATTGCCCTATTCGTGGTTCTTTCAAGGATGTTTCCACCCACAGGGACAGTCACCGCTGGACAAGGTGCCGAGCAGCCTGGCTGAAGCTGGAAGTCGGCCCTGCTCTGAGTCAGGTGACCTCCAAAGATCCTTCCAACCTGACCCAGTCTGCGAGTCCACGACTATTTTGCACGAACTCCCAGAACATGAGAGATGCACAGCGCTCACCCCAGGCTTCACGTTAAAACCAGGGAGATACTGAAGCAGTGCAACCACCGCGCCCTTATTCTACCGCTTAGACAACACCTACAGAGGTCACCTGGAACCCAAAGGAAAGCTCACTGAAGGTCAAAAGAGACTTTCCAAATTCTCTTCAGTCTCTCTTTGCATATCTGTTCAGTTTCTCAGTTGTAAACACAGAATGATGGCGGAGGGGGAATTTGTCTTCAGAAAGTTTTTGTGGTTACTAAAAACATTACCCAAAACACAGTGTCAGTCCTAAGAAATTTCATTTGGATTTAGTGGAAATTGCTCCTGCTGCAAAAGGAAACTAACGGCCACTAGAAATAAATTCAGACAAAACCATGTGTTTTATCAACACGGTCTGCAGCAAACTGAAAACAAACCTGCAGAGGAAATGCTACCGCGGAAGCACAGCATAAAATCTCACCGTTTTTCCCTGGGATTTTCTCTAAGAGGTTTAGCAGGATTTGATTAAGTCTCTCTCTCTGAATATGCCGCCGTTCCTCTGGAGTGCACAGCTGCCTTGTGTCCGAACTGCCTTCTTCCACCTTTTTATCCGTTTCACAGGTCTCACCAGCGACCGCCTCCTTCTCTGGCTCCTCTAGGCTAGGCATCTCACTTGACGCTTGATCTTGGTTTCCTAACACATCCTCAATGAGTGGAAGAGAATCTTCTTCTTGGTTCAAGTCTTTAATCTGTGGTTTTGAGCGATCTGTTTTCCAGGATGACCTAGCAGGAAAAGCAGGGGTTAACACCACAGGTTTTCAGACACCCACCTGAAAGGCCAATTCCTAGCGAGTCAAGGACTTCTCAGGAGGCGGGGGGCTTTCTGGAACCCCAAGCCCTTCGACTGAACAACGTGTTCAAACCCACCAGTTCCTACCCACAGGAGGCTGCGTTCCCATGACCTTGTTCCCGTAACGCCAAACGCCGTCTTCCACAGACACACTCTTCCTTAGCTCCCTTCGTAAAGGGTTTTATCTCCCAAAATAGTTGAGCTCGGCACTTAATGATGTTTTTCTGCAACAGCCATGGCTCTCGACAACGGAGAGTGTACTGGCCCTGGCTCTCACGACAATGCAAACAGCGGCAGCTGTCCAGGGAGGCTGGATGCTCCTGTCCTGGGCTCTGCCATCTCCCACGTCCAGCTGCTTTTGCTGACTTTCAAAATGGCTTCTGTACTCTGCCTTACGTACGTTATTAAGGAACACTAAGGCTGCTTCTGTGCTCTATCCCTCCTCACTTGTTCCCTTTTATCTCTTTGAAAGTTTAGAGGATTGCTTTAAATAATTCAAACTTATTGTTTCCATAGCACTCAGGGGAAACGGGTAGGAAAAAGAGCAGAGACTTGACAAACAAACAGGATTCTCTCATCTCTTCTCAGCGATCGAGCTGGTAGGTAAGACTCACCTGCCCCCGTTTCTCTTGTAGTTGTCTGGTACATAATGAGGCTGTAATTAAATAAAGATTACGGTTAATAGCAAATAAAATTTGCAGGGAAGAGAGTGCTGGTCTACCAAATATTCTGGAAGGACCAACCCAGGACTCGCCTGTCTGACACTTCAGAAATGCCAGTGCACGCCTGGCGCATCTGGCGCGTCAGAGTTCAAAGGAGAAGGCGTAACCACGTAACAGGGCTGAGTTAGAGCCAGACTTATCATCTGATTCTTCATGTCTTCTCAAAAATGTCAAGCCATAGACCACCATGATAAAAATCACCTTTGCTTTCTGCACAGCACAAGTCTGGAACCATCTCTGAACTCACTCCAAAAATCCCTCTCCTCCCAGGAGGGAAAGCGCTGACTTCTGCCAGCTCGGACACTTCTGTGCTCCGGGACAAAGCAGCGCCCACACCGCACTGGGGGTGCGCAGTGAAGAGCTGCTGCCTCGCGGAACGGGGGAAAATGAGACAGTGAAACGAACAGATGGAGGATGTTACTGGAAACGGTACTTCATGGTTCTGCTGGTTACCTGGCCGCTGGCTTTTTGAGAAGACACCCATTTTCAGCGATAGTTCTATACCAAGTAAGCAGTATGGCATTGGACAGAGCAGGGAAATGCTGCTTTTCTGTATTGGGAATCGCTGTTCAAAGGCACTGCTGAAAAGCCCTTTTTAAGCGAGTTTATTAAGACATAGAGTAATTCCACCAAAGGCGAGCAAGCCTGGCATCCAGACTGCGCGCGCTTCCGCGTCAGCTTCCTTCGCTTTACCCAGCTTCATTCACAAACTGAGCGCCAGGGGCTTTCCCAAAATATGTCCGGTCTTGCAGGAAAAAGTGAGGGAGCGAAGAGAAGAAGCACTTACTGAAAAGTCTCTCTTGGGCGTGAGTTTCTTGGGGAAGTGGTCAAAGGCATAGGGCTTGGTGCAGACAGGGTAACGGTTCCGGTGGATCTTGTAGAAGAGGTGAGCGGATTTATCGAGGCGGTAATCACAAATGTACACATCCTGCTCCTTCACGCCTTTCGGCCTCCCTGCCGTTTCAAAACAAAGCACACAGGAAAAGGTGCTCATCAGATTCAAGAAGAAACACACGGAAAACCAGAGCAAGAACAAGCCACACGCAGCGTCAGAGAAGCAGGGGGCTGGCAGAGCTGCTCAGCAGGACGGCA